AAAAATGTCATAGTATAGTATGTCGTCCTAAATGATGAGAAAAATGTCATAGTATAATATGTCGTCCAAAATGATGAAAAAATGTCATAGTATAGTATGTCGTCCAAAACGATGAAAAAATGTCATAGTATAGTATGTCGTCCTAAATGATGAGAAAAAGTCATAGTATAGTATGTCATAAACAGTTAAATTAAAAAAAAGGTCTTACAATGCCATCGTATAGTATGTCATAAATTAAAATAAAGTCATTGTGTAGATTGCCAGAAAAAAGTGTTTCACAGAAATTGCATTCACTGACTTTTTATCAAATTAATATCCTCAAAAGACAAATCCAGTTTATCAAACAAGACTTCTCTGATATAAACAGTCAACATGTTTGTATTTCACACTTTCAGTCAGTGTGTTATTTTCCCCTCTGGGTTTATTCATCTTTACACTTATATAGCTGCAGGTTGTGTCAGGTGTTCTGGAGAAAAGGATCCTCCAAACTGCATAAGGCCGCACACTTATCTTCCAAATCCACGTGGAGAGGTACTTCCATCTGAACAACCCCAGCATCAGATAAGCCTCTTCCACTGATAATGAAAACCTGCTACATTCAACCACGTCCACGACAAAGGAGAACATGTTCTCACTTTCTGTGCTTCTTCTGAATTCACTATATAATTCATTTATGGTGTCTTTAAGACCTGGACCTGTTGATGAGACTAAAACTACTCTGTTGGCAGGATACAATTATTGTTTAGTCTGTCTGAAAACTTTTTAGATTGTTAAATTACTCTTCCCATCACAGTTAGCCAAACTAAATCATCTTTGTCTAATAAAAAATCTGTGAAAACCAATGTATAATGATATATAGTAGCAAAACGTTGCATCTGAAAAACAGAAATTCTTGGAAATTAGAGCAAGTACCATTTGGCACCTGTACCAAAATAGCACCAAATTCCAGGGAACAGCTTCCTCGTGCTAAGAGTTGCTCCTTGTGACACAATTCTGAGAAAATTGTGATGTTTTCTTAGAATTTCATTTTAAAGTTAAGACTTGATCTTGTACAGACAATAGTTATTCACAGAGCATCTTAGACCTTAAAAGAGAGTGAAAAACTGTTAGGAGTAGAGAGGAGGTCTTTTAAAAGGCTTAAGAGTTTCTGAATCAGAGGAGAAAATGGTGGAAACACAAAGAGGTCGGAGAAATATTCTCCAAACACTGGATGACAGTGAGTAAATGAAATGGTACAGATAAGACGGTGCAGGGTAACGTGTGCCTGATCTCATGAGGGATACGCACACATTTCCCACCTAATGCTGTAACACCAGAAATAAAATGATCACAACAATAAGATATTTGGAAAACTGGAAAAATGCAACAGTGCAGCAGTGATGACTTTGGTCTGTCTCAACCTTCCATCAGCAGTGATGATGACTGGGTGTCCACACCTTTCAGGCTCAAAAAGGGCCTGTCTCTGACAACCAATCACATCTGTTAAAATAATGCATCATACCTAACAACGTCAACCACACCTCCTCACTAAGGTAAAAGTTTCTGTCCCTTCCTTACTCAGAGAACTCTCCTAATCAATCCTACGCTTGGACTCCTTACTAAAAATGTTTAGGCTAACTGAGGAGCTCTCCGAGAGTGTCCTCAAAATGTTTGTGAATATAGCCCCTGGTAGCGGTACAGGCATCACTTCAAATGTGAATGGTACTGCTAGATTCCACTAAATCCTACAAACTGGACCTTTAGCTAAAATATATTAGTATTATGAAGAAACCAACTTTAAGTATCAGTAATGTTACGTACTGAACTGAGAACAGAATATGCCATTTCAAAGGATTAAATTATTATATAATACATGAGTGAGTTATTGATGCATTCTCAACATTAAGAAGAATTTAACTGTTGTAATTGGTGGAGTTAATTTTACCTGCTTTTTATGAGACAATGTTTTGTCTCAATCCTTATAAGACAATAGCCCCTTTTACACTACCTGTTTAGGGCAGGAATTTCACACCGTTTTTCCACCTAACCATTTTTTATAATAAGTACAATGGTGGAATTGGGGGGCAAAGTTGTCTCGCTTTTAACCTAGTATCAGAGGTAGTAACGGACGAAACGATGTCTGTATAAACAGGACAGCTAGCAGAACGGGATCATGGGTGGTACCGGTGAGACGCTTTGACAACTTGTTATGCGTGTGACCCACTGTAGGAGATTTAGAAAGTAGCTGTTAGCAGTTAGCAGCTAACTAAAATAAGCAGAACAGCAGCCGAAAATGTCCATAAATTGGGAACAATGAGGTCAAGGAGCTCCTTTCCGTCTAAGCAGAAGACAAGATCAGCCGCCATATAACGGGAATGGTAGATGATCTTTACTGCCATGTCATGCCGTTGTTATTGTTTGTTAAGCCCCGCTGACGCATCCTTTATATGTCACACTAGACACCAAAGCTGTTGTGTTAATGTCACGCCCATCACGCCTCTTTTGATTCCGCAGTGCCGGCATGCTTTTGACAAGCATACACTGGAGATGACGTTGTTTGGTTCTGTGTAAAAATGTGAAGGAGGCGCAAAGGAGGGACATCGTAGCGGCCCTATAGTGAGATCTATGTGTAAAAAGGGCTACTGTTTCCTCTATACTAATCTAGGATAGGATAATATGTCTTGTATAATGCAGGTGAGTGAAGGGGAAAAGGAGCTTAAAATGGACATCAGTACAGTGGTGTGAACTGAATGTACACTCTTTCATACAGCAGTATAAATGTGTGTACATGTTAATGTTTGAAGCCACTGCTGTTGTTGATGACATGTATTCAGTTATTCACCACGGATCAACAGAGCCGAAGCCTCGGTGCAAAAGTATGCGGCCCACTCTCATGATCACCATGGCCCCCTGCGCTCCTGATAAACGCTCCCTAATGCATTCCTCCCCCCACCGCTTCCAATTTATATTCATCTCCAAGTCACACAGGCTGGTAGTTTATATTAATATTCTTCCTTACAGAATCCCCTTTAATAAAACAGCCATGTGAATAGAAAAGAGGTCCTGGCAGTTCCTTAATTATCTAATGTCAGTCCTTTATCTTCTCCCGGTCACATG